AAGGCAGCCAAGGAGTTTGGAGTGTCTCCTGACAAGATTAGCCTACAGCAAGGCAAGGCGAGCCCTGTGAGGGGAGGGCAGAGTTGGGGCTCTGATCTTCCCCTGCCCCCTCTAACGTCTGATCTTTGACCTCCCTCAGATGAGGATGTATTAGACACCTGGTTCTCCTCTGGCCTTTTCCCCTTCTCCATCATGGGCTGGCCTAACCAGGTGTGTTCTTGGGTTCAAGAAAGGGTTGGGTAGGCGTCTTGGAGGTGGGTTCTTAGTCCCTCATGCCCTCGTTTGCCCTCAGTCAGAAGACCTGAGTGTGTTCTACCCAGGGACGCTGCTGGAGACAGGCCATGACATCCTCTTCTTCTGGGTGGCCCGGATGGTCATGCTCGGTCTGAAGCTCACTGGCAGGTTGCCCTTCCGAGAGGTGTGAAGATTGCCCAGACCCCTCCCACCCAGCTCACCCCTTTGGGTGCCACTAGCCTTAGACTCAACATGGGTGGGGAATGGGGCAGAGCTTCTATGGAGAACCATGAGAGGGCCTAGGAAAGCAATATTCAGGCTCACAAGTCTTCTCGCCACCTGCCTGCCTGCCCCACAGGTCTACCTCCATGCCATTGTGCGAGATGCCCATGGCCGGAAAATGAGCAAGTCTCTGGGCAATGTCATCGACCCCCTGGATGTCATCTATGGAGTCTCCCTGCAGGTGGGGTTTGGCAATGGGCCCAGTAAACAAGGGGCCGTGGGACTGCAGGCACAGCCACGTAACATGCCTGCCTCTGTCCTTAGGACCTCCATGATCAGTTACTGAACAGCAACCTGGATCCCAGTGAGGTGGAAAAGGCTAAAGAAGGGCAGGTATGGAAAAGCAACCTAAATGCCCACTGATGGATGTTTACACTTAATGTGCTACATTCCTACAATGGACTGTCGCTCAGCCACAAAGAGGGCTGTGACCTGATGCATGCCAAAAACATGGGTGAACCTTAAAAACATGCTGAGCGAACTAAGTCTCTCACTAAGGGACAAATTTTATGTGATGTCACATATGTGAAATATCTAGGGTAGGCAGATGTATAGAGACCAAAGTTTACTAGAGCTTACATGGAACCAGTAGAAAAGGGGACAAGAGGAAGTCATTGCGAAGGGGGCACTGAGTTTCAGTGAAGGGTGATTTGGAAGTGAGTCGTGGGATTTGTATAACATGATAAACAAAACTGCATAGAAAAGGTCAAAAGAAAACAATGTTGAAGTGGCTCTCATGTACACCTTTTTACCATACTAAAGTAAAAGGACAGGGATGGGAGTGGAGCTGACTGAGGACCCCTCTGTCTATGTCTCCTCCCTGTAGAAGGCAGACTTCCCAGCAGGGATTCCCGAGTGTGGCACTGATGCTCTCCGGTTTGGACTGTGTGCCTACACGTCCCAGGGTATGGTCCTCACAGTCTCTCCCTTGCCTACCTCCTTCCCTGAAGCTCACCCCTTTTCTCCCCCATTCTTGTTCCCTGGTGGGGTAAACCAGGAGAGAAATTAGATGAGAATTCACACTTTACCCCCACCCAGGCCGGGATATCAACCTGGATGTGAACCGGATATTGGGTTACCGCCACTTCTGCAACAAGCTTTGGAACGCCACCAAGTTTGCACTCCGTGGCCTTGGGAAGGAATTTGTGCCCTCACCTACCTCTGAGGTGAGGGCCTGGTACTCGGGGAGGTGGGCAGCACCCACACAGGTTGTATCCTGCTACTCCATCGTCAGGTCCATGTTGTGCCAGAATCACAGCCAGAGGGTTAAGGCTCAGCCTCTGCCTCTGAGGAACCTCCAGGAAGCTGGGGGCACAGATGGACATAAGAAAAGACCCATTACAGGGAAAGCCCAAGGCATTGGGCCTATCCCTAGAGGTAGCCGGGGCTGTCCCTTCTCCACATCCTGGCTATGTGCTTGGTTGCTTTGGACCTCATCTAGCTCCTAGTATGCAGAGCTGCCCACAGTTCCTGCTCCCATGAGTGAGGGGCCCTGGCCTATGAGGCTGCCTGTCTGATATGTCCACTCCCCCTCTAAGCCTGGAGGCCACGAGAGCCTGGTGGACCGCTGGATTCGCAGCCGGCTGGCTGAAGCTGTGAGGTTCAGCAACCAAGGTTTCCAGGCCTATGACTTCCCTGCTATCACCACCGCCCAATACAGCTTCTGGCTCTATGAGCTCTGTGATGTTTACCTGGTGAGGAGGGGCCGGTGGGGCCTCCAGGAAGGGGCAGAGGTGTGGGGAAACAGCAGAGTCCTGGGCCTAGCTTTGCCAGTGGTGGGCCATGAAAGTATAAATTCTCCAGCCTGACCCCTGTGTCTTTCCTTGTCTCTTAGGAGTGCCTAAAGCCTGTGCTGAATGGGGTGGATCAGGTGGCAGCCGAGTGTGCCCGTCAGACCCTCTATACCTGCCTGGATGTTGGTCTGCGGCTGCTCTCCCCCTTCATGCCCTTTGTGACCGAGGAGCTGTTCCAGAGGCTGCCCCGGCGGACCCTTCAGGCTCCCCCTAGTCTCTGTGTTACCCCCTACCCAGAGCTCTCAGAGGTATGGGGCAAGCTGGGAGGGGAGACTCTGGCCTTCCCTTTCCACCTCCTCAACCCCCTCCTCTGCCCACAGTACTCCTGGAAAGACCCTGAGGCAGAAACTGCGTTTGAGCTGGCATTAAGCATCACTCGAGCCGTGCGCTCCCTGCGTGCAGACTACAACCTTACCAAGACCCGGCCTGATTGTGAGCCTTAGGCACCCACCCCATCTCATTGTCCCCTTCGCCTACCTTGTGACCTGGTATCAAGCTATGAATACCAAGCCTCCTGTCTCCTTAGGGCCAGGCCTCACCTCCTCCCTCTCCCGGCAGGTTTCCTGGAAGTAGCTGACGAGATGACAGGGACCCAGGCCTCAGCTGTGTCAGCCTACGTGCAGACTCTGGCCAGCGCAGGAATAGTGGCAGTCTTGGCCCTGGGGGCTTCTGCACCCCCTGGTTGTGCTGTGGCCCTGGCCTCTGACCGCTGCTCTGTTCATCTGCAGCTGCAAGGGCTGGTGGACCCAGCCCGGGAGCTAGGCAAGTTGCAGGCTAAGCGTGGAGAGGTGCAGCGGCAAGCCCAGCGTCTGCGTGAGCGCCGTGCTGCACCCAGTTACCAGGCCAAGGTGCCCCATGATGTCCAGGAAGCAGACAAAGCCAAGGTGTGTAGTGGGGAGTGCCTTTGACATTCCCTACCTCATCAGCCCCTCCATCGAATCCAGACCATGAGGCCAGCCTCTTTTCATCCCTGGATACTGGATAATCTGGGGGTAGCATAGTGTCCAGGCTCATGAGTGCGTGGGATCCCTCCTCTTACATGATGGCAGGGCACAACCTAGAGCCACGTGGCAAGTTGAAGACAGGCGGGCCTAGAAATGGGTATACTGCCTTCCAACCAGGCCCTTCACTCCCTGCCCAGCTGCCCCTAACATGGAATTCCCGAGACTGGCATCTACCTCAGAGCACAATGGGTGTGTCCCCCTCCTGGGAGGAGCACTGGGGTAAACCACACAGATGCAGTGGAGGATAAGAGTGCTGCGCCTTGACAGCTGAGCATGACTTCCCTCACCGGAGTCTCGGCAGCCCTTTAAGAGCAGGCAGGGTCATCATTTCCATTTACAAATGACTACTGTACATATGGCCCACGCAGGGGCGCTGAGACCTGGGCATTTTGTGAGGTCTGTGTGTGTACTAGATTACAAGTTGTGCTGTGGAAGAAAGATGAGGGTTTCCGCTCCTGTAAAGCTTTACAGCCTCGAAAACCCTTGAAATACAGGGTCATTATGAGTCAGAATTCACTCCACAGCACACAGCCACCACCATGTGCTCTGAGGCTTCTCTGTCCTTGGAGACTGACTGGGGAAAAGGCAGACCCAAGAGGCGCAGGGGTCATGGTGATGGTGTGCTGGTAGGAAGGCTGGTGAGAATTGTAGGGTGAGGGTAAGGTTAATGGGATGGACCAAGTTCACACACACTCCCTGAACCAGCCCTGCCATGGTCCTCACCCATCTTTCCAACTTTGTCTGCTCTGTGATACTGGGTGTTTGGGGTCTGCTGTCTTGGGCCTGGGTCCTCAAAACCTACCACCCATTGTTTCACTTCTAGCTCCAACAGACAGAAGCAGAGCTCAGGAAGGTGGATGAGGCCATCTCCCTGTTTGAGAAGATGCTCTGATACACTCAACTCCCACCATCATAGCCCCAGGGACCCATCATGGGGATGGCAGCAATAAACTATTTTACCACAAAACCATTTCTTGTTGGTGTTTGCTGGGGATACTAGGGGCTGGGCTTTTACAGTGGTGTGAGCAGCAGGAGGTCTGCAGGCTGGGAGCGAGGCACTGGGCTCTGGTGGGCACAGAGATGTGTCTGTCTGGGTCTGACCCTGGCACTGTGCCAGGCCTGAGTCACGCTGCTCCTAGCTCCCTTCCTCCTCCCTGTGCTTCTCCACTCACCTCCTCACCGCAGCAGAGGAAGGTCCGCCCCTGGTGCAGTGGCCACCCTGGCCTTGGGCAGACATGAATAGAGGGGCTGGGGCCACCCCATCCCACCCCAACCTTGCATGAGCCTCCCTCCCCCTCCACTGTGTCTTCGTGTCTTAGTTAATTATAACTCTGACCTAAGTACCTTGTGACGCCACGCCCCAGCCAGCCCTGCCCAGGAGACCCAGCAGCCAGGTAGGGGAGAGGCCTGAGAGGAAAGCCTCTCACTTCCGGTGTGTGGTGGCGTCCCTATCGTGGGACTGGGGGGCCTGGGGAAGGAGCCTTGGACCTATCTCCTGGCAAGGGTATATCATGCTAGTCTGCTAAGATCTTAAGGTGGTATGGGTGGCAGAGGAGAGAGTGGGGAACTTAGGTAGGAGTAGGTAAGGCATTCTAGGCAAAAGAGGAGGGTCAAGTAGCTGCCCATGGAGACAGCTGGGCCTGCCCTGGAATCACTCCCTCCTGTCTCCCAGGTCCATGTCTCAGCCATGCTTCCTGCAGAGGTACTCCTACCCCATCTGTATCCCTCAGCAGTTCTCATGCTGAATCTGCTGCTGCCCCCAACATCAGCCTTCTTCCCCAACTTCTGGAGCCTCCTGGCTGCCCCAGGCTCCATCACCCATCAGGACCTAACAGAGGAGGCGGTGCTCAATGTCACTTTGCAGCTCTTCCTAGAGCACCCCCCCGCAGGCCGGCCACCCCTTCGTCTGGAGGACTTTGTGGTGAGCGTCCAGACCCCATCATAACACAACCAGATTTCTCAGTTCCCTGGGACTTCAACTTAAGGGATCTAGTTGCCAAAAGAAGGGATGTTCCCCCAAACCTCAAGGAGAATACCCCCAGAGGTCTGGTCCTGGAAATGGAGTCTTCCCTTCTCAAAAAGGCCCAGGATTGCCCTTTCCCTGTAGGGCCTACATTACCCTTGTTGTTGTTGTTAAGTGCCTTCGAGTCGGTTCCGACCCATAGCGACCCTGTACAGGGTTTCCGAGGGTGTAAATCCTTACGGGAGTAGAAAGCCTCATCTTTCTCCCGCGGAGCGGCTGGTAGTTTCGAACTGCTGACCTTATGGTTCGCAGCCCAACTCGTAACCACTACGCTACCAGAGCTCCTCAATTACCCTCAAATACCATGCAGCCTTGAATGCCAGTTGCTGAGGAAAAGATAGGCAATAGATCAATTTAAGAGGCTTCTCTGAAGCCCCTGTTCCCTACAACTCCCCTTAGGGCCGCACCCTTCTTGCGGACAACCTCTTTGCTGCCTACTTTGGCTCTGGATCTCTTTCTCGGCGGTTTCGAGCAGCCTTAGGCGAAGTGTCTCGTGCCAACGCAGCCCAGGACTTCTTGCCAACTTCCAAGAATGACCCTGACCTGCACTTTGACGCTGAACGGCTGATCCAGGGGCGCACACGCCTGGTGACAGCTCTAAGGGAGACCCTGGTAGCTGCCAGAGCCCTTGACCACACTCTGTCCCGCCAGCGCCTTGGGGCTGCCCTTCATGCCTTGCAGGTGAGAACAGAGCGACAGGTAAGGTAATAGTAAGGGATCTTCGAGTCTTCCTATCTCTTATACGGAGAACTTTCCAATGGTACCTTCATCATACCTCCCATATTCTAGAAGGGATTGGGGGACTGTCTGCCAATGCCCAGAGGCTATTTCCTAATTCCCCACTCCCTCAAATGGCAACAGTTGCTGTGGGAATAGCAAAGAGGTCATAGTTGCTAAAGAGAAGACAGGATAAGAAAAAAGATGTAAGGGGGAGCAGCGAATTGTATAGGGCCTTGTAGGCCATTGAAAGGCCTTTGAGGAAGATGGAAAGAAACACTGGGAGAATTTCTACTTTGGGTAAATCTCAAAATCAATGAATGACTGAATAGTTCATTGTTCTGACCAATGGGGAGAGATTAACAGAGGGAGACTTGGGGTGTCTGGCAGAAGCTGTGGGAGTGGGAGGCTTTTTGGATGGGGAACTCAAGGGAAAGTCATGTTAAAGTGAATATGTGCGCACAGTCAGACTAGTGCCTCACACTTGTTCCATCCCCCGGACCAGGATTTCTACAGCCACAGCAACTGGGTAGAACTGGGGAAGGAAGAGCCACACCCTCACCTTCTGTGGCCAAGGCAGGAGCTCTGGAACCTGGCACAAGGTACAGACATGACCCAGGTGGTAGGTGGGAGCCACTAAGCTCCCTCTGTCTACCCAGTCATGGTATCACCAGTCATGTCTGGCAGGACTGTGAACTCCCCTACTACCACAGAGTAGGTCAATTATGTGGCTTCCCTAAGGTCACACCCGGAAGGACAGAGTTTAGACCAGGTCTCCAGACCTCAGTCAAATGCTCATCTTTCATGAGACTTCTGCCCCATACTAGATGACACAATGCCTCCTCACAGTCCCTTCGTTCTCCCAGCTACACGGAATCACAAGCTGCCTCCTGTGCCCATTGCAAGTTTCATTTCCTGTCCACAGCTCACAGAGGGCATAATCCCAGAGGATGGGCTCCCAAATCTTTTGGATTTTTAGCACAATCACAGCCTCATTCAGTTTTAAACTTGCAGTTTGCATTCTGAAAACCTAGTCATAGCACCTATAGGCTTTTCACTTTGTTCCAGCTGGGAGGAAAAGCCAAAGAAGTTCAGACAGACAGGGATAAAGGCTGGGAAACATGAAAATCTTGAGTTCTGGCTCCTTGTCTTCTATTTGCAGCAAGTGATCCTACCTGTTCTGATTGTGAACAATTGAGCTGCCTTGGGAATTTGCTGGATTTACAGCTCCTCACCTCTGGCTACTTTGGAATACATCCTCCCAAACCTCCAGGTACCAGAAACAAAAGTCCCTTCCTTTCCACTGACCCTTTCCCTCAGTGCTGTAGGCCCTTGTCCCATTTCCTATAGCACCATTTCCTGGGAGAAGGAGAGGATGTTGGGAATGTGATGAGTAGATGAAGACCCATTGAGGTGGCCATGACCATTGAGGTAGGGGCAGCTGCCTGCTTAGCTTATAGGACTTCTCCATTGCCCATGGGCAGTTTTAGGGGCTGACTGGAGGAATTGGGAATATACTGTGTGCCATCGTGACTGACCTCAACATTTACTCTACATTTGGTTTCCACAAAGTCATTATTTTCCTGCTGATCCTTTGCAGAGGTGAGAGAGAATCAGGCCAGGTCAGAAAAGGCATCATTTCCTTAGGAAACAGTGGGTTTTTTACCTTTACCCTTCAGGATCTGTTTCCCCATCCCAGGGAAATGTAGCCACGGGGGCCATTTTGACCGGAGCAGCTCCCAGCCACCACGGGGAGGCATCAACAAGGATAGCACATCCCCAGGCTTCTCCCCCCACCATGAGCTACACCTCCAGGCTGCAAGACTGGCCCTTCTAGCCTCTATCCAGGTCTTCAGCCTCCTGCGAAGCCGCCTGGGAGACAGGGGTTTCTCCAGGTACGTGACCTCCTGGACATGGGTTCCCTGGTAGGTAGGTACTCCTCTGAGAGCTGAGAAACCCTGGGTTAGAGATGAATGTACAAGCCCTTCACTGGGTCTTTTGCCTGTTTCCCAGGTTACTAGATATCACCCCAGCCTCCAGCCTGAGCTTTGTCTTGGACACCACGGGCAGTATGGGTGAGGAGATCAATGCTGCTAAAATCCAAGCTCGAAACATTGTGGAGCAGCGGCGAGGCAGTCCCATGGAACCTGTCCACTATGTCCTAGTGCCTTTCCACGACCCAGGTAACCATGGTTTGGGCAGGAGACTATGGGGAAGGTGTGTGTGCCCCTGGTGGGAAAGTGGGTCTCATAGCTCCAGTTCTTTAGCAAAATAGTGAAACAGCCTATGGTCTTGAGTGGGCCTTTACAATCAGCTCTTCCACTGTTTTCAAAATGGCAGCATTTTCATTGAAGTTTTGTTTTGCTTTTGTGGATTTTAAAAAATTAATATCATGTTTTGATGTTTTATTTTTTATTGAAATTAATTGTTAAGTGCTATCAAGTCAGTTCTGACTCATGCTACACATGTATGACTACAGTTCAGTGTTCCATATGAATTTAATGTGTGAGCCATGCTTGGGCAGACGGCCTATGCTTTCTTAAGCTTCCATGCTAACTTCCTCCATTTCCTGTATGAATAGATTGGGATGAATATGGAGGGGGGGTGGTTGTTGTTGTTAGGTGCTGTTGAGTTGGTTCCAATGCATAGCTACCCCATGCACAACAGAATGACCCACTTCCCAGGCCTGCTCCAGCCTCACAATCCTTGTTAAGCTTGAGTTCATTCTGCTGCTACTCTGCCAATCGATCTTATTAGGGGTCTTCCTCTTTTTCGCTGACCCTCCACTTTACCAAGCATGCTGTGCTTCTCCAGGGATTGGTCCCTCCTGATAACATGTCCAAAGTATGAGAGATGAAGTCTGGCCATCCTGGCTTCTGAGGAGCACTCTGTACTTCTTCCAACACAGATTGGTTTGTTCTTTTGGCAGTCCATGGTACTTTTAATATTCTTCTCCAACATCATAACTCAAATGCATCAATTCTTCTATAGTCTTCCTTATTCATTGTCCAACTTTCACATGCATATGAGGCTACTAAAAATATCATGGTTTGAGTCAGATGCACCTTAGTTCTCAAACTGGTATCTTTGCTTTTGAACACTTTAAAGAGGTCTTGTGCAACAGATTTGCCTAATAAAATATGTCCTTCTATTTCTTGACTGCTGATACCAACTTTCATGAGTGTTGATAGTGGGTCCAAGCAAAATAAAGTCTTTGAAGACTTAACTCCTCTTCGTTTCAGCAAGCAAGGTTGCATCATCTGCATGTCTCAGGTTGTTAATGAGTCTTCCTCCAATCCTGATGTTATGTTGTTCTTCATATAATCCAGTTTCTCAGATTATTTGCTCAGCATACAGCTTGAGTAAATACAGTGAAAGAATACAACCCTGGTACACACCTTTCGTGATTTTTAACCATTCAGTGTCCCCTTGTTCTGTTGGAACTATTGCCTGTTGGTCTATGTACAGATTCTTTATGAGTGCAATTAAGTATTCTGGAATACCCAGTCATTACAATGTTTGTCATTAATAGTTTGTCATGATTCACACAGCCAAAAACCTTTGCAAGGTCAATAAAGTATAGGCAAACTAAGCTTCGTCTCTCATACTTTGGACATATTGTCCGGAGGAAACAGTCGCTGGAGAAGGATGTCATG